CACTGTCACAATCACAGAGTACAAACAATTTTATACCAAAGCGGTTCCTCTTGCTCGGTATATACTGCTTGAATGACAGTCTACCTTTGAACAAAATCAAAGACTCGTCAATTACAAGATTCTTGAATGGATAAAAGTATATCCTGAACTTTTGTTTGAGATACATGAAAACATTTCTAATCTTGTATAACCTGTCACTTCTGTCAGGCCTGGTTTTGTCAGAGAAGTGCAACATACGTAACAGTAAGATAAACCTGTTCACTGGTATTATTTCACTGAAGGATGGGGTACAAATTAGCCGATCTGTGGACCAGTATGCTTTTATATTATGCTTATAGACGTGAGGCATAAGCATTATTGTTGCAAAAAGCAAATACATTTCTGCAACAGGTCGATCTCTTTTCCACCTGTGTAGTCTTGACTGTGGTGATAAGTCCGTATTTGCCATGGTGTACTGCCAATATCTTATAACTTTCCATGCCCATGGTTTCCATCAATGGGCTGCGTCAAAGAATAATTCAAGAATTCCAGTTCATTGGCGTGGTTCAAGGGGACAGGTAGTAGAATTCCACTTGCGCGGTCCTCAGAAGTGATGTGAGGGCTGGGAACAAATTGGGATTTTGCTGCCAAATCCAGATACGGTTTGCTGGGTGGATACTGGACATTAATAGGCTGGTGTTACGGGTGGTGTGTGGCGGCGGTGGGTGACGCTCGCTTTGTCCTTGAATGACGAGGTCAGGGAGCAGAACGTAGGTGTTCCCGCGTGGCACAGCGAGTTCACGCATGGCTGGTTGCCACTACACCACCAGCCCACTAACACCTATCCACTGCTGTCTTGGGGGCCCATCCATGCCAGAGGTAGCCACATCATCCTCACTATCACTACCCTAGAAAACGGGTGGTAGGGCCACGGATGTACTCCGGGATGTACTCGTCCCCTGGGACCAGCTAGGGTACACTACCTCGAGCGTTGCGGCGGCGAACATACCGACGCCTTCTGGTGAATTGTGTCCTCACTTCTCACTACTCGAACGATCGATCGCGCGCAATAAATCAGTAATCGCATCGTCTCAGAAATCATCGTCATTACAGAAGTCAGAGGTCCGGCCACGGGAAAATATTAGTCTTTCTCTTACGTTTAGGAACACCCGTCCGTGAGTTCCACGTAGTGCCCACACAGAGTAGAAGAGTCGAGTGATCGGTCGGGGTTTTCTTGCCACTATAATCGATATCCTGGTCTTTATATTTTCGGTCACTAAACTTCTCAACGCCGTAGAATTCGTCGTCATTTTCGCACTTCGACTATACAGTGTCAGATACTATCAGACAGGAAGGAGGAATGTCCCAATTCCGGGGAGTGAGAGCTGACTTGCGACGCGACAGGGTGAACAAGGGTGGACTGAGCCGGCGTTCCCCACTCCTGCTATGCAGGCGCCTAGATTTTTTGTTTCTCGTGGACACCCCACGGGCGCAGATCCCGTTTCTCTATATGTAGGACCTATGAGCGCTTTCGACGCTAAATTTGGTACGGCGTAGTATTTTGGTGTTAGATTCTCGGTTTGACCACTCACGACAGCCGTAGATCTACGGGACGGACCCTGAACGGGGGTTAACGATATGTTTTCCAATCCGAAGTTGTTCAGGTGCCAGTTACTGGATACCGAATTTGTTGTCCTAAGGATATATTGTGAAGTAGATTAGTCCATTTCAGCCCCCCAAACATTACCAAGTTTACCAAACGCACCTTACATAAATACACTTACATAATGGTCGCATTCGGAAGGTGATCATGTTGGGGGTCCCACTGTATCAAGGCTATAATTGGTGGGGTAACCGGTATGGCTTAAGGTTGGTTTTTTTGTTGGTTTGAGCCAGTGGATTCTGTGCTAGGCAAAGATGTTAATGGTGTCTGATGTTTACCGTGCACTCCTGTCTACATTTCCTGTGTATGTTTATGGAGTACCTTTTAAAACTCCTTCATGTAGTGAGATTTTTTAAAACATGACTGGAAAAAAAACATCAAAAATTCAAAAGTGTGTAGAAAGACTTTCATAGTATGCACCATTAAATTTTGATGCAATTTTTCAACAACATTTACACAAGAATTCCCACTATACAGAAGAATTTTATAAGAGCTATATGTCCCTTTTAATGTGATGGACTGCATTTGGCCCTAATGAATTTGTGATAATGTGACTGTATACATACTAGTAAATTGGTATTTTTGCACTCTCACAAGTTTATGGTTTTCAAATAGTTTTTTTTTTTTTTTTTTTTTTACAAAAAACACACTGCTGTTCCCAACAAATTTATTGTATTCATGAGTGCAAGGAAAAGGGATAGGGGAAAGTAAGTAAGAGGTAAAGAAACTCCAATAGTGGTACATCCCTAGCTGAACACACACTGATAACCTACACATCATTCTCAGTATTGTATTTGCATTGATTGAAGCCATTTTCCCTCGCATAGTTAACCCTTGACTGTCGCAACCCCAAATCCTGAAGTTTTCCCCCTGGTGTCACAAAATTTCCAAAAAAAAAAAAAAAAAAAAATAAAAATTCTCACATGTGGGCCTACCAGCTTTCTCCTGCTTGATTTGAAGCTGCTAGAATTTATGAGTATATATATGTCAAAACTCGGTGGCTAGTAAGACGTATATATATGACCGAAACAGTCAAAGGGTTAAAACTAGCATGCCTTCTAATAACTTTCTTTTTGAGATGAATACTTTTATCCCCAACTTCTCCTTTATTTACAAGCACAGTACTATTCACTATTTCTTTCTTTCAGTATCTCAGTATTCGAATAGAGATTATATATGTAAGAACTAGTGCTATTTTGGTATATACATTGGCAGTATTCTATTCCAATGGCATATACATTGGAATAGAATAATAAGTTGAAACTGTGTAAACAAAATACACTATCAATTGTAAGTGCATTTCAGATTTCAAACAGCTACAGTATGAACATATAAGGTAGAATAACTGATGGCCAGCATTGTATCACATACAAGTACATACTGTACAACACCTGGCCTTGCATTGTACTCACATAAGAGTTCTTGTTCAACAGACAAGGAAGAAAATGGTGAGGCACTCAACAAATTCACTACTTGTAAAAGAGTCCCATTTAAAATTTTCACAGTGAAACAATAATGAAAGATGTGTGTAAAAGGAATGGTATACACTGATAAAGACATTTATTAAGGAAATGTTTCATCATGAGTGACTTCTTCAGTGTTACTACAGAGTACCTACAATAAGCACTACTGTACTGAATACATTATAGTACATGAGGTACAATATGTTACCCCACACTTAACCTATGCTCACCTAAACTCTTCTACTGTACATATGCAGTACTACTTGTTCCCACTACTAGGGATGAGATACTAATTTTCTGCCAGTGCTGATACACAGCTTTAGGCTGATCCTGATACCATCAAAATTAGCTGATAATCACAGATACTGATACCTATACTTTGTCACAACCCAACTAAATACGCTGTATGAGAACTGGAGAAGCAACACGTGATGGAATGTTTCCTAGGTAAATGTCTCTTTTAGCTACAACCTGTCACTATCACCACACCAGTCTACCTACCCGGAGGGTATCCCAGGGATCAACATCCCAGCAGGCTGCTCCATGATAGGCCTCCCAGTAGATCAGGGCATGATCAACTAGGCTGTTACTGCTGGCTGCACATTGTCCAACTCCCTCTTGAAGGCAGCCAGGGTCTATTGGTAATTCCCCTTATGCTTGGTGAGAGGCTGCTGAACAGTCTTAGGCCCCGGACACTTAGTGTGTTTTCTCTTAGTGTACTAATGATGCCCCTACTTTTCATTCAGGGTATTTTGCACCACATGCCCAGTCTTTTGCATTCATAGGGAGTGATTTCCACCAAGAAAAAAGATAAAGATTCAAGTTTTAATCTGTATTTCCAGATACTCTGAAGGATTTTTAAAAGCCTTCAATCCTCTCTTTTTTGCACCAATGCTTTCCATTAGCTTTAGTGTGCATTACTATCCATGCCTTCTGTTCTCATCAAGAAGAAATAAAGAATGTGTGCAGATTTTAATTCAACCCTCCAGTGTTTTCTAGGTGTAAATCATGATATATTTGCTTTGCCTGCATTCCAGAAAATAAGATTAAAAATATTTTTAAGCATCCCCAACAATTTTGTAGTCTGAATTTATATGAAATGAAAGTTCCATGCATGGGTGGTAACACTCATAGAGTTACCATGCATGGGTAATAAACTTGTAGAGTTGCTATACATGGGTGGTACACTTGTGGAGTTAATATGCATAGGTGGTACACTTGTAGAGTTACCATGCATGGGTGGTACACTTGTAGAGTTACCATGCATGGGTGGTACACTTGTAGAGTTACCATGCATGGGTGGTACACTTGTAGAGTTACCATGCATGGGTAATAAACTTGTAGAGTTGCTATACATAGGTGGTACACTTGTAGAGTTACCATGCATGGGTGGTACACTTGTAGAGTTACCATGCATGGGTGGTACACTTGTAGAGTTACCATGCATGGGTGGTACACTTGTAGAGTTACCATGCATGGGTGGTACACTTGTAGAGTTACCATGCATGGGTGGTACATGATGGCTACAGTTGGTTCATATAGACCCTGAATTTCTTAACTCTTTGGTCCAGTACATAAAATAGACAATTTAAAATGAGAAGTACCTTGCCATTCCATCACACAATTAAGATGAGAATCAGTTCCATAAAAGATGCTGTGCAACATTATACACACAGAATGTAAACCAATAATGGACATTCAGTACTATATGGCAGAAGGGAAGGACATGGTAAAGGACATGGTAGAGGTAAAGGACATGGTAGAGGTAAAGGACATGGTAGAGGTAAAGGACATGGTAGAGATAAAGGACATGGTAGAAGTAAAGGACATGGTAGAAGTAAAGGACATAGTAGAAGTAAAGGACATAGTAGAAGTAAAGGCATAGAAGTAAGGACATGGTAGAGGGAAAGGACATAGTAGAAGTAAAGGACATAGTAGAAGTAAAGGACATAGAAGTAAAGGACATGGTAGAGGGAAAGGACATAGTAGAAGTAAAGGACATAGTAGAAGTAAAGGACATAGAAGTAAAGGACATGGTAGAGGCAAAGGACATAGTAGAAGTAAAGAACATAGTAGAAGTAAAGGACATAGAAGTAAAGGACATAGTGGAAGTAAAGGACATAGTAGAAGTAAAGGACATAGTAGAAGTAAAGGACATAGTACAAGTAAAGAACATAGAAGTAAAGGACATAGAAGTAAAAGACATAGAAGTAAAGGACATGGTAGAGGGGAAGGACATAGTAGAAGTAAAGGACATAGTGGAAGTAAAGGACATAGTGGAAGTAAAGGACATAGTAGAAGTAAAGGACATAGTGGAAGTAAAGGACATAGTAGAAGTAAAGGACATGGTAGAGGGGAAGGACATAGTAGAAGTAAAGGACATAGTCTCAGTAGTAGTAACCAGTTACCAGTAACCAGTGTACCAGTAGATGACTCACTACCAACCGTCTGCGTGAATCACTGTCTGCATTCATATTGTGCTGACCACAGCAGTATTCAAACACCCCCCTCACATATGGGTACTGGGGTTAGTTAGTCTTAAGAGTGAGAGCAAGGAGGCAGGTCACGGCTGTTTGGCGCTACCCACACTATCCGTAATATACGTACTTCCAGCCTACGTGAGTATTTCTTTACCCTATCCACGTGTTCAAACCCCACATGACAAATGGTGGCAGCGGTGGGATTGAACTCTTGGATAGTCAAGGTCCATCTGGCTAACCTTCCAGTAGGTTGTTTGTTCTGGAATAAGGGTATCAGTGGAGCATGGTCTGTCAAGACATGAACAGAGTACTGATAAATAATGTCTCGGAAGTGCTTTAAAGACCATACTATTGCTAAAGCTTCTTGCTCAGTTACTGTATAATTACGTTCAGCCTTTGTAAGGACTCGGCTAGCAAATGCAACTGCGTTGTACTTGCCATCGGTCTTCTGAGCTAGTACGGCACCTATGCCAATTGAACTAGCATCAGTTGTCAGATAGAAGGTCTTAGAAAAATCTGGAAATTTCAAAATTGGAGCAGATGTTAGCTTTTCTTTTAGAGTTTGGAATGCTCTTTCTTGACGGAAGGTCCAAACAAAAGGAGCATCTTTCTTAAGCAACTCAAGTTAGAGGAGCAGCTATGGAAGAAAAATTGGCAATGAAAGTTTTTTAAAATCTGCTAAGCCCACAAAGGATCTTACGGCATCTGCAGTTTTGTGTGTTGGAAAATTTAGTACTGAAGTTACTTTACTTTGGTCAGTCGTAACCCCTCTAGGAGTGACTACGTGACCGAGAAACTTAATTTCTGATCTGAAAAATTTACATTTAGACAGTTTGATCTTTAAATTGGCTTCTTCAAGCTTACCAAGTACTACATCAAGTCTTTTCAAGTGTGTATCCACGTCTTTAGACATGACGATTACGTCATCTAAGTATACCATAAGTGCATTACCTATGAGACCTCTAAAGATATTAGTCATGAGCCTTGAGAACGTGATAGGGGAGGATCGTAATCCAAACGCCATACGGAGGAAGTGATAATGACCTGTAGGAGTGGAGAATGCAGTTAGCTCTTGGCTGTCCTCGTGAAGAGGGACTTGCCAAAACCCTTGTAACAAATCCAGGGTTGAAAAGACTTTGTTATCTCCGATGTTACGTAAAAGATCACCCAGTACAGGAAGTGGGAAGCGATCTGGAATGGTTTTTGCATTTAACTTCCTTAAGTCAATTACTGGGCGCCAAGTACCATCCTTCTTAGGTACTAGGATCAAGGGCGCATTCCAAGGTGAATTGCTAGGTGCAATAACTCCATCATCAAGCATTTGATTGATCAATTCTTCTGCGACAGCAACTTGTGAATGAGGCATTCTGTACGCAGGTATGTAGATAGGTCTAGTACCAGGTTCAAGTGGAATACAATGGGACAATAAGTTCGTTATACCCATCTTCTCACCTGGTAAGGCAATGGCTTTACGACGTTTGTTCAACAGAGTCAACAAACGCTTGACTTCATCTGGGAAGTCAGTGGGAGCTAAGTCTTTCTCCTCAACTGGTGGAACAGATTGATCCGGTGAAGTGGATGAGGTCTCCCCGGTAGAAATAGCACCAACCAACTGGTCAGGTGACAACTCATCCTCTACCTGAACAGGGTAAGGATAGTGAACAAGGTCAACAAGATTGGTATTAGTAACCAGTTACCAGTAACCAGTGTACCAGTAGATGACTCACTACCAACCGTCTCTGCGTGAATCACTGTTTGTATTCATATTGTGCTGACCACAGCAGTATTCAAACACCCCCCTCACATATGGGTACTGGGGTTAGTTAGTCTTAAGAGTGAGAGCAAGGAGGCAGGTCACGGCTGTTTGGCGCTACCAACACTATCCGTAATATACGTACTTCCAGCCTACGTGAGTATTTCTTTACCCTATCCACGTGTTCGAACCCCACATGATAATAGTAGAAGTAAAGGACATAGTGGAAGTAAAGGACATAGTAGAAGTAAAGGACATAGTAGAAGAAAGGGACATAGTGGAAGTAAAGGACATAGTAGAGGGGAAGGACATAGTAGAAGTAAAGGACATAGTAGAAGTAATGGACATAGTGGAAGTAAAGGACATAGTAGAAGTAAAGGACATAGAAGTAAAGGACATGGTAGAGGGGAAGGACATAGTAGAAGTAAAGGACATAGTGGAAGTAAAGGACATGGTAGAGGGGAAGGACATAGTAGAAGTAAAGGACATAGAAGTAAAGGACATAGTGGAAGTAAAGGACATAGTAGAAGTAAAGGACATAGAAGTAAAGGACATGGTAGAGGGGAAGGACATAGTAGAAGTAAAGGACATAGTAAAAGTAAAGGACATAGAAGTAAAGGACAAGGTAGAGGGGAAGGACATAGTAGAAGTAAAGGACATAGTAGAAGTAAAGGACATAGTGGAAGTAAAGGACACAGTGGAAGTAAAGGACATGGTAGAAGTAAAGGACATAGAAGTAAAGGACATGGTAGAGGGGAAGGGCATAGTAGAAGTAAAGGATATAGTGGAAGTAAAGGACATGGTAGAGGGGAAGGACATAGTACAAGTAAAGGACATAGTGGAAGTAAAGGACATAGTAGAAGTAAAGGACATGGTAGAGGGGAAGGACATAGTAGAAGTAAAGGACACAGTAGAAGTAAAGGACACAGTGGAAGTAAAGGACATAGTGGAAGTAAAGGACATAGTGGAAGTAAAGGACATAGTAGAAGTAAAGGACATAGTGGAAGTAAAGGACATAGTAGAAGTAAAGGACATAGTAGAGGGGAAGGACATAGTAGAAGTAAAGGACATAGTGGAAGTAAAGGACATAGTAGAAGTAAAGGACATAGTGGAAGTAAAGGACATAGTAGAAGTAAAGGACATAGTGGAAGTAAAGGACATAGTAGAAGTAAAGGATATAGTAGAAGTAAAGGACATGGTAGAGGGGAAGGACACAGTATAAGTAAAGGACATAGTAGAAGTAAAGGACATAGAAGTAAAGGACATGGTAGAAGTAAAGGACATAGTAGAAGTAAAGGACATAGTAGAAGTAAAGGACATAGAAGTAAAGGACATGGTAGAGGGAAAGGACATAGTAAAAGTAAAGGACATAGTAGAGGGGAAGGACATGGTAGAGGGGAAGGACATGGTAGAGGTAAAGGACATGGTAGAGGTAAAGGACATGGTAGAGGTAAAGGACATGGTAGAAGTAAAGGACATAGTGGAAGTAAAGGACATAGTAGAAGTAAAGGACATAGTAGAAGTAAAGGACATAGTAGAAGTAAAGGACATAGAAGTAAAGGACATAGAAGTAAAGGACATGGTGGAGGGGAAGGACATAGTAGAAGTAAAGGACATAGTGGAAGTAAAGGACATAGAAGTAAAGAACATGGTAGAGGGGAAGGACATAGTAGAAGTAAAGGACATAGTAGAGGGGAAGGACATAGTAGAAGTAAAGGACATAGTGGAAGTAAAGGACATAGTAGAGGGGAAGGACATAGTAGAAGTAAAGGACATAGAAGTAAAGGACATGGTAGAAGTAAAGGACATAGTAGAAGTAAAGGACATAGTAGAAGTAAAGGACATGGTAGAAGTAAAGGACATAGTAGAAGTAAAGGACATAGTAGAAGTAAAGGACATAGTAGAAGTAAAGGACATAGTAGAAGTAAAGGACATAGTAGAAGTAAAGACTAGTAGAAGTAAAGGATTGGAGAAGTAAAGGACATAGAAGTAAAGGACATGGTAGAGGGAAAGGACATAGTAAAAGTAAAGGACATAGTAGAAGTAAAGGACATAGTAGAAGTAAAGGACATAGTAGAGGGGAAGGACATAGTAGAAGTAAAGGACATAGTAGAAGTAAAGGACATAGTGGAAGTAAAGGACATAGTGGAAGTAAAGGACATGGTAGAGGGAAAGGACATAGTGGAAGTAAAGGACATAGTAGAAGTAAAGGACACGGTAGAGGGGAAGGACATAGTAGAAGTAAAGGACATAGTGGAAGTAAAGGACATAGTAGAAGTAAAGGACATGGTAGAGGGGAAGGACATAGAAGTAAAGGACACAGTAGAAGTAAAGGACATAGTGGAAGTAAAGGACTAGTGGAAGTAAAGGACATAGTAGAGGGGAAGGACATAGTAGAAGTAAAGGACACAGTGGAAGTAAAGGACATAGTAGAAGAAAAGGACATAGTAGAGGGAAGGACACAGTAGAAGTAAAGGACATAGTAGAAGTAAAGGACATAGTGGAAGTAAAGGACATAGTGGAAGTAAAGGACATAGTAGAAGTAAAGGACATAGTAGAGGGGAAGGACACAGTAGAAGTAAAGGACATAGTAGAAGTAAAGGACATAGTGGAAGTAAAGGACATAGTGGAAGTAAAGGACATGGTAGAGGGAAAGGATATAGTGGAAGTAAAGGACATAGTGGAAGTAAAGGACATAGTAGAGGGGAAGGACATGGTAGAAGTAAAGGACATGGTAGAGGGAGAGGGCATGATAGAGGGGAAGAGGTGGAAGTGTTGAGGGAAGGACATTAACACAAAGGAAGATAAAAGAAAAAGGTCACAGATGATGTAACAAATTGGTCTCGGGTAAGAAATTATCAAGACAGACTATGTCATGTCCAAGCGTTGAAGAAGGTGGTAGAAATGTTGTTGGTAGCTCTTTAATGAAGAGGTGTTTAATGTGCATGAGAAACCCACACACGTAAATTCCTATGTTTTACTTACTATTTTTCACATCACAATAATGTCACACAGTTTCTGTCTTTAATATTTTGAGGTTTTGTTGTATTAACTGAAGAACTTATACACATTTATTGCAGAACAAATATATTATACAGTACTTATTATTGTATAAAAATGTTTTCAGAAAGATAAGCAAGTTGTGTCCTCTTCAAGAGGAAAGATCTCTTGTGTGAAGCTTCCTGTTGCTGTCAAACATTACCACAATTATAAATGTTTACATTTTTTTAAGAAATTTAAAATTTTAGTAAAGTCTATTCTATGCCTTACCATGATTTTATTCACCTACAGTTGTATATACATTTATGAAATGGTAAATAACTAGTACTGGTAAACAATATTAGGAGACTTTAAAAACTGCTTCAGAAGCCAGTGTGCTGTTTAACAATGTTCAAATATATGATCAAATAATTGGTCGGCCAGTTGTTGTTGTTGTCTACATGTTTTTTTCTGAGGATCACTGTTGCCATGGCTCAGCCTCATGTAAAATTAGCACAGTAGTGTATATTTATGGTTCCTCATTTAGCAAATCAAGCTACTCAAGGCTTATCATTATCTTAAATAAAAAAAACTTTAA